GGGGGTGGAGGAGGAATGGGAACACCCCCCCCAAGTGCTTAACCATGAACCCCAATAGTCCTCTTAAAGTTGGGAACATGACAAGTCCAGGATATCTGTCTGTCACTGCTAGAAAATGGTCACAGGTATAGCTAATGTGATTAGAAAAAAGAAAGAATAAGAAACATTAAAGAGGAGGCCAACTTGTTATATATAAGTGGGACTTTAGGTTCACAACACCCAGGATATTCACTTAGAAAACATTACCAACAAGAAGATTCAGTAAGGTGTCTGGGTAGCAAAGTCAGTATCTTCCCGTATAAGAGACAGAAAATTATAATGAAAGAAAAAAGTCCATTTACAATAGCTACAAACAGATGACTTACCTGAAAATATAGTTACCAAGTTATGTGCAAGACGTATATGAATGAAATTTGAAGATGCTACTAAGGAATACATGCAAACACATGAATGAATGCAAAGACATCCTTAAGAGAAGAAGCTACATTCTACACATAAGCCAACTGTCTCTAAATTAATATTTAATTCAATTAACCCCAATGGTAAAATATGACTTTTTTCCTGTAATTAAACATGTCAAAGTTTGTACAACAAAGAAAGAGATGGGAATAATAAAATTCAGAAAAATAAAAGGTGGTCTAGGCCTGAAAGAAATTAAAATACATTATAAAGCTAAAATAAATTAAACAGTTTGGTAATAGAGCATGAATAGGCAGAGAGACCAATAAAAAACAGTGTGGTAAGTCCAGAAATGTATCCAAATTGCCATAGAAATTTAGTTTATGATTAAGAGGTCATTTCAAATCAGTGGGAGGAAGGAGATTATTTAATAAATGGTGTGATATTTAGACAAATGGTAGCTATCTAAGAAAAAGTTTAGATTTCTTCTTAGATCCTTATAACAAAATAAATCCTAGATGGAGCAAAGATATAAATTTAAAAACCCATAAGAGCATTAAAGAAAACATGGGGGATTTTATTTACATAATATCCAAATGGGGAAGGACTTTGTAGTTCTAAACATGACACAAAACCTGGAGTTTGTGTAAGAAAAGATTGGCACATATGATATAAAATTAAAATTTTCTGCATTTCATGAGCCAGACAGAGAAAGACAAGTACTATACGATTTCACTTCTATGTGGAATCTAAAGAACAAAATAAACAAACAAAATAGAAACAGACTTACAGATACGGAGAACAGACTGGTGTTGCCAGAGGGGAAGGAGGTTGGGGGGCTGGGTGAAAAGGTGAAGGGATAAGACGTTCTAATTTGTAGGCACAAAATAGTCACGGGAATGTAAAGTACAGCATAGGGAATATAGTCAATAATATTGTAATAACCATGTACGGCACCAGGGACTTATTGGGGGGGAAACACTTTGTACAGTACATGATTATCTAACTGCTATGCTGTATACCTGAAACTAATACAAAATAATACTGAATATAAACTGTAATTGAAAAATAAAATTAAACAAACAAAATTCATTATAAAGTCAAAAGATAAGCAACAAACTTTGCTGGAAAATCAATGTTTCCAACATGTGAGACATAGGCAGAGAGCAGATTTCCTCAGTGCTACTTAAACTCCTACAGATGAATGAAGACAGCGGAGTCCCAAGTTCACAGGAAACAGCAGAGGTTTAAACACACGAAATGTGCTCGCTTGCTCACTTATAAAAGATACCAACTAAAAGCCTTGTGAGCTGCCGCATTCCCCTATTAACCCAGCGAAAACGAAGACGTGCGCTCCCACGGGGCGGGGGTGGCGCAGGGCACGGCCCAGCTCTGCCGCGGGCGCCCAGCCGCGTGAGCCCGCCGGCGGGGCCCTTAGCCAGGCCCTCCCCACGAGAAGACAGCGCCAAGCCCACGCCCCGGAACCCCGGCCTCGGAACAGCAGTCTTCAGAATTTAGCTACACACGTGCGCGCCTTTGCCTAGCGACACGTGTATGAGGATTTCATTAGTAGGGAAAGACTGGAAAGAACTTGTGTTTACATCAACAGGGGGCCGGCTAAAGGAAGGACCGTGAGCTTGGAGTGAAATACTCTGCCCCCTTTGGGCAACGCAGCAGCTCTATAGTGACAGGGAACAAGCTCCCAAGGATACTAAGTGTGCTCAGGGCAGGAGCTTGGGGGGCGGGATCTGGGCTCGAGATATATACTGTGGAGAAGTGGGTATACGGATGGTAAGTAGAGGTGGGCATACGGATGGTAAGTAGAGGTGGGTATATGGATGGTAAGTAAGCCAGGCCCTAGGCGTGCCTGGGCCTACCAGAGTGTGTGTCCTGAGGAGGCAAGAAGCTGGGGCTGGAACCCTGGGAACATCCTTGTGTGAGAAACAGGCAGATGGAGAGAGTCCACAAAGAAGAGTTAAAAGGGTGGTCAGAGAGAGGGGAAGCGAGTGGAGCGTGTGTGACAACTCCTCCTTGATGACTGCAAACCGAAACGCAGGTAACATCCCTGTGAAAGGCGGACGGTTTAGTTTCCACGTTCAGTTAGAGAGACAATTACTTGAACACTGGAGCAGTTTTCAGTTGCTCTTCCCTTGGTGTATATTCTTACGTATATGACAGAGTTTCCCATGTGCTGTTTTGGCAGAGATCTTGCCATAAACACATTTACATGTACACACACATATATATTTGTAGGCACACAGATATTTATTTACATCAATTAAACTAATATCTATTGAGTCTTGATTATGTGCAAAGTATAGCATGTCCCAGGCAAGGGGTTTGCCAGGATTTTATTGCAAAACACTGAACACTGAGATGCATCTGACATCTGAGATGAAACTGACAGCCCCCAGTCAGGTGTGTCCCTTTATGCAGGACCTTCAAGCAGCTTTTACCAAGCTGTGCTTTAGACCTGGTAGGTGATCTGCCTGAACGAAATTGTGGAGCAGAGAGACCCACCTCCCTGAAAACCTGTCAAGTGAGAAATAAGTAAGCTCTTGTCTTGTTTAAGCCACTGATGCTTGGTCTCGGCTAAAGAGTGTTAGTATCCTAATGGGTATTTAAGCACATACGGCCCAGGAATCACTTCAGGGAAAGGGTGACAGTCTCCGAAGGATGCCCTCATTCAGTCGCATGGGTAGGAAGCTCAGTTTTGTAACTGTTTTCTGAATTTGCTAAAACTCCGGTTTGTGTTCTGCTTGTAATCCTCTCCCTGCCTGTGCACCTGCCCTTCCTCTTGGTCTGATCGAGGGACAGAGTGTTCCAGATGCACAGACGCACATGCAAGGGGCAAGAGGGAGGGTCACACTGCCTGGGAAGGGAACAGTCGTTTTTTGCAGGTAAAAAATAAAAGAGCACCTCCCATTAAGTTTTATTTTGCCCTCACAAGAGTGGAGAGAGCCGGCGGGTTGGAGAGGAGGCCTGTCTCTCGTATGCTGCGCTGTTGCTACCAGAGTGGGACGCCGATCGCTATGGTAGCACAACCATGGGGGCCTCTGTGGCCTGGCAAGATGATGCCTAAGGTATTTTTTATTTGGGGACAGGTTAGTTTCGCTTAATTTAATTTCATAATATAAGGAAATTCTAACATATGCAAAAGAAGTCAGAATGGTCTTCTGAACATGACTGAACCCACCCCTGCCCCCGGCCATGAACTCGTGGCCAATTCTGTCTTATTCCCACCCTTATTATTTTTAAAGCAAATGCCATCATATTATATCATCCATAAACATTTCATTAAGTATGCTTTTAAAATAAAAACTTTTAATAAACACAACCACAAAACCATTATTACACACAAAAAGGATTAATCATATTTCCTTAATATCAGTTATACAGGTGGTGTTCAACTTTTAATTGTTTAGTAAGTGTCATATTTTTCTTTGTAATTCTTTTGCTTGAATCAGATCTAGACAAGACCCAACATTGTAACTGGCTTATAAGTCTCTTAACTATCCTTTAATCTAAAGATCCCTTCTGCCTCTCTCTTTTTAAATCATTGCAATTTATTTGCAGAAGAAACTGTTCTTTGTTTCGTTCCTGTACAGTTTCTCCTGCCTGGATGTTGCTGGTTGCATGCTCATGGTTTAATTTATTTTCTCCATATTTCTTAAAAGTTGGTAGTTTGATCTAGAGCTGCACTGTCCAATCTAGTAGTCAGTAGCCACAAAATAATTAAATTAAATTTCCAGTGCTCAAAAGCGACATGGAGCACTGTTGCCGTATTGGGCAATACAGGCTATAGAACATGCCCATCATTGCAAAAACTTCTACTGGACATGTAAAGGTTGAGAAGCTTAACCAAATTTAAATTTAACTTTTTGGGGGAATATTACTTCATAGGTGGTGCTGCGGAGGCACCTAGTACCTGCTGCTATTTTATGGTGTCAGCAGCTTTTGATGCTAGCTGCATTGGTTCACCAGAAGAAAGGCATGTCCTTGAAGTGACCCCAAAGTCGGCCTCTCTGGCACTCCCTTCTCTCCATCTCTTTGGTTCTACAAATCAGACATCTCTGAGTCCTCCCGGTTCCTTAGGTCTGTCCTGTTGATTTTACCTCCTAAATACCCCTGGAATTGGGCTCCTTGTCTCCATTTTGGAGCTGACACCCACCTTCCTCCCTGAGAAACCAAAAATGCTGCTCCTGGGTCTCCCCATCATCACATCTGTCCGCTCCCAGTGCATTCTCCATGTGCAGTGGGCAAGCACCTCAATATTCCTGCTTCTCCAGACTCCCAGCTTCGCCCAGCCTCCTTCCTGCTTATGAATGTCTCCGGGGATTTAATCCTTTAACTGCTCTTCAGGCAGGGTTAGCATTTGAGCTGCTGGAGCATGAGGCTCAGGGGGAAGAGGAGAGCTCAGGGGGCTGAGGCAGTAGATACATTTATCAAATGCTACAAAATGTTTCTGTGTCTTAACCGCCTGCTCACCTCTAAGTGCATTTGGTTAGTTTTGGCCTGTGTACTCCGCACCCTTTATTCTACCATATTGGCTTTCTTTTAGTTTGCTGCAACTATCCACACTCCTCCAGTCAAAGGATACTCTCTCCCCGAACTCCTACTCATCCTTCAGGTGCAATTCAAGGTTCGCTTCCTCGGGAAAGCCCTTCCTGACCACCTCCAGGGCCATCAGTCTCCTCTTTCACTCTCCAGTGGAACTATGCTTGACTCCTTCTTGATTCATATCTGATTCTAGATGTGTTTCTGACTTCGCTCAACATTATATTCCCAGCACCTAGAGGTGGTACATAGTAGGTATACAATAATCAATTTGTTGAAGGAATAAAATGAAAATTGAGTTAATAGACTGAATATTCGACATCATTTGCTCTGCTGGGTATTTCCTCTTTTCATTTTGTAATTATTTGGCATTATCCATTTACAAATAATGGTTTACCTTTGCAGACATGCCGTGTCTGTGTCTAATTTGTTATCTGGAGGCCCTGCTGCATACCCATCCTACAGAGGCCATTTCACTCTTTGGTAGCTTCTCGTTGGTGCCAGCACAGTTAAGGGGCCTGCAAATATTCCCAGCATGGCCTCCAATGCAGGTAAGAATCACACCAACGCAGTAAACAGTGATACAGAGGGAGGCACAAATGCTAAGACCAGTAAATGAGGAGCTAGTCAAGAGCTCAGTTACTGAGCCCTAGTCTAGTTCCTGGGGTGTGGGAGTGCAAAAGACAGTGCTGCCCTCTGCCCTCAAGGACCTATTTCCTGGTAAGGTGGACAAGCTCTTGTCAGGTAGAAAAATGAACAAACAACAATATAGATCCTGTTGAGTTTGGAGAAGAAAATAGAGTAATTTGATAGAGGGAAACTAGGGGTAGTGGGGGAGCTACTGTAGAGGGTGGCCAGGGAAGGCTTCCTGGAAGAGGTGACATTTGACTTGGGCCATGAAGGATGGGAGAGATCAGAGGAATGAGGACTCCAGCTGCAGAAGAGCTTGGGGAGAATTCCAGGCAAAAGGAAATAGCCAGGAGCAAAGGGCCAGAGCTGGGGGAGGGTCAGCTGGCAACCTCAGCCTTCGTTTTCTCATCTGTAGATGGTGACAGTGGCACCCACTGACTGCAGGGGTGTAGCTATCATTGTCAAGATTATGATTATCCTTCAGTTCAGGAGTAGCTTCAACAAAGCAGATGCCCTCAGCCAGCCTGGGAAACAGATCCACTGATTTCATGTTGTGAGTTCAGGGAAGAATGAGGTAATGACAACAGGCTTGCACGCATGCACACACACATGCACGCACATCCTTACAGAGGTACACCCCCTGCACTCACACAGCCCCCGCGTGGGATTTCGGCTGTGGCCATAGGATTTTAGCTCCCAGACTCCACCGCGGAGAGTGCAGATTTTGGCATTTCAGGCTCTCAGGCATTCAGCTCCCTTTCCCACGTCTGTGGGAGGAGCCGGCTGTCAGAGGCACAGAAGGAGGGGGGCGAGGCTGTGGGTGGGGACCCAGCCACTTAATTAACATACTCTGCTCGCCCTGGGAAGCCTTCTCCAAAGTTCCTCTGCACCATTTCTCCGGGAGACAGGAGAACAGTTTGCAGCCAAGACTTGGTACTTAAGGTAGCACAGAGCCAGCCAGAGCTCAGGCAAGGAATCCCCTGTGAGGTGAGCCCATCACCTGAGGAGTGGGGAGAAACAGGTATTTCCTGGGGGGATACAGAAACAGAAGAAGCAGGGAGAAACCAAGCCTGCTGACACCTTGATCTTGGACTTCCAGCCTTCAGGACTGTGAGAGAATACACGCCTCTGGTATTTGTTACAGCAGCCCTAGCAGAATAATATGGAGCACAAGAGGTCCGGGGAGACCCAGGGAGCACAGAATGAGATAAGGTGGGGGTGTGGAGGGGTCAGGCCCCACAGGCCAACTTAGGGATTATTGGTCCTTACTTTAGGAGCTACTGAAACGTTGTTAGCTATGGAAGAGTGAGAAGCGTATAGAAATTAGCACACATGTAGAAACTGATGATTACTTGAAGAAAGCCAGGGGATTTTGAATCTCCCATTATTGTATTGAGTTTGGTTTTTGTATCTCCCTCGTGCTAGGCTGTCAGCTCCCTAAAAGCGGGGACCAGGCCTATCCTGCTTGCTTCCATCTCTTCGTTGCCCAGAACAGTGTCTGACACCTGAACTGGTGCTTGATTCCTGGAGCAAATCATGAAGAGATTTACCAAGAACCAGAGTGTTACGAGGTCCCAGAGCAGGGAGAGATTGCTTTGTCTGGTTGCTTGGAGAAGGCTGGACTCAGGACCAGCTATATCATTTTTGAGGCCCAGGGAAAAATGCAGACACAAGTGTGCTTGATCAAAATTGATTAAAGATTTCAAGGTGGAGGCAGCAGGGCATTAACCCAAACGGGGGTCCTTCTGAATTCAGGGGCCTGTGTGACTGCACAGGCCACGCATCCGTGAGATGGCTCTGGTTGGAGTGGATCCTGGAAAGCTTCATGGAGGAGGCAGTATTTGAGCTGGATTAGTCTGGGCCTAGGGCGGGACCTTCTCGGAGAAAGGAATGGAATGGCATAGGCAGGGAAGTGGGCAGGCATGCCAAGGGAAAGTGGACCGATACTTTCTTTTATTGGGAAGAAAAAAAAGACTAAATCTCCTGAGCTTGATTTGGGGGCAAGTTTTGTTAATCACAGATGAACTCCTCTGGCCAGGGGTACAGCAGAGATAATTTTTCAGTTTCATTAGGGCTTGATGAGGTCTGAGCACCACGCAGAAGCTCGGCCTTGTTTGAGATGGGCTCTTCCATTTCTCCCTTTCACAACTAAACAAAGACATCAGCGAGGAGGGCCTTGCTGGCACATAACCCCCGGGCAAGGGGCCCAGCGATGCCAGCAGCCGTGCCACCTGGCATCTGCCAGCTGAGGTCCTGATGCAGCATGATGCCTTGTGTTTGTCACACCATCGCTGGTGTGACAGACACAGCATTGAGGGGAAGGAATATATGACCTGGGTGTGCTGGTGGTGGAGTGTGATCTGGGGCTCGTGGGGCTCTGGTAACAGTTTCCTTACACTCTGTACTAGCTTCCCAGGGCTGGCGTGGCAAATAACCATAAACTTGGTGGTTTACGACCAACAGACATTTATTCTCATAGTTCTAGAGGCTAAAAATCCAAAATCAGCAGGGCTATGCTCTCTCCGAAGGCTCTAAGGAAGAATCCCTCCTTGTCTTTCCGAGTTTGTGATGGTTGCTGGCAACCCGTGGCATTCCTTGGCTTATAGCTGCATCTCCCCAGTCTCTGCCTCCCTCATCATATGGCATTCTTCTCTCTGTGTCCAAATTTCCTTCTTCTGACATTAGTCAATGCATTAGGAGCCACCTTAATCCAAAATGACCTCATCTTAAACTTGATTATATTCACAAAGACCCTATTTCCAAATAAGGACACATTCACAGGTACTAGGAGTGAAGACTTGAATGAGTCTTTTGGCGGGGACATTATTCAACTCATAATACAAGTTTCTTTGCTTCCAAGATATTAAGAGTCACGAGTAACATCTGCATAGGGCACAGCACTTTCCAAATTGATTCTCCAGACCCTCTCCCTTGTCCCATTGGCTCAGCAGCTCTGTCAAGTAGATTGGGAGGAAATGTTACGCCCATTTTACAGTCGGGAAAATTGAGTTGCAAGACGTTTTAAGTTACAGCCAAGGGCACGCGTGAAGCTGTTAACAATACTTATGGAAAAGATGGGCATTGCATGGTGGGAAGAAAGAGGAAGGTAAAGTGGCTAAAAGAACTAGAAAAATGTTAATTAGCTACACACACCAAGGAATGTTTCTGAAAAAGGTTTTGGGATCAAGTTTTTGTCTCAATCCATCAGCAACTTAACATTTATTAAACATTTACCATGTGACGGGCCCTGTGGAAAGCTCGTTACCTGTATCCTTTTATCTAATCCTTACCTCAGCCTGGTGCTGTGGGCATCATGACTCCAGTTTGCAGGGAAGGAGCTGAGTGGGGGCCGTGGAGGAGCCAGGATTCCTCCTCAGGCCTCTGGGTTCCAAGCTCTCACTCCCTGGCTGGGCCACTCTCACCCCTGGCAGGGATCGGGCAAAGGGTGGGTCAATCAGTGTCGGTCAGGGTGCCATGCCCTATGGCAGGGCGTTGCTGTGGATGGGCTGAACTCAGAATCCCACAGGCATCTGTCAGAGGGGGTGGAGAAGTGGTTCTGAAAGAAGGTGTCAAAGGGGCTACAAAATTGCTGTGAGGTGGGTCGCGTGGTACAGACCAGGGGTTAACAAACTTTTCCTGGTAAGGGCTAGACGGTAAATATTTTAGGCACTGCAGGCATATGGTCTCTGTCACAATTGCTCTGCATATAATGCACAAATGAACGAGTGTGGCTGTGTTCCAATAAAACTTTATTTATCAACACAAATTTGAATTTCAGATCATACTCATGTGTTACAAATACTATTTTTCTTTTGATTCCCACCCCTTCCCTCCTCCACCCCAGTCCCTGGAAAATGCAGAAACCACCCTTGGGCTCCCAGCTGTTTCAAACCAAGCGGGGAGCTGGGTTTGGCCCTCGGGGCTGTGGTGCCCAGACCCCGAATAGACTCGGCTGCTGCTTGTCTGCTGAACCCTGCAAGGACTTTGCCTGGCAGGTGGATGGAGCAGACCGCGCTCGGGCATGAAACTTCCCACTGCAAACGCTACAAGAACAAAAGGGGGCCAAGCGGGTAGCGTGGTTTCCGAGGAGTGCATTTCATCCAGCCGCCTCCCGAAGCTTCTAGCATTCACGACTGCACCGTAAACACAAACAAGACGAGCGCTCTGAGCCGAGTGTGCAGGTAAATGCCCCTTCCCAGGGCTCTTGCCGGCGGCAGCACCCCGGTTCCTGGGCTCTGAGCTGTGGGCCAGCAGCGCCTGGGGGAGGCAGGATGGGGCGTCCCTGAGCCGAGAGTGGGGCGCCCTCTCCGTATCATCAGTTCTCAGAGGATGCCCGGGGGGCGGGAGGACATGGTGGTGCTGGGACCCACGCCTGTGCTCCTGGGGCCCAGAGGGAAAGTGCTGGCAGCAGCCGGGGCTGCTGCGAAGCTGACGACATGGCGAGGCCTGCGGCGGCGTGTGAGTGGCCCTGCGTGGAGGGTGCAGGAAAGGGGGGGAGGGAGCCCATTCTCTGGAGTGGCTACTGCGCCCTGGGGCACCCTGCTAGGCCCCTTGGGTGGAGGAGGGTGGAAAGAGCCAGCTCCTGTCTTCACTTTCCAGATCCAGCACCAACTAGCTGTGTGACCCTGGGCAAGTTGCCGGACCCCTCTGAGACTCAGTTACCTGACGCATAAAAAGATGGACAAGGCCCCTCTGATGGTGAGATTGTCGGGAGGGTTTAGACGGGATGTCACGTGCCTCCCCCATCTGCAGTGTGTGCTCTGCGAAGGGTGGCAAACGCAATGACACACCACACACCTGCCAAGCTCGGGCTCAGCTTTTGTTGAAGGTCGCTGAAAATCTGGCCTCAAGGGAAGAATCCTTTGCCACCAAATCTTGGAGGTAAATCTCTTCCTCCCTGGCTGGGGAAGGTTTGCTTTCTAACTTCTCTTGGAGGCGAAAAACCCAGCCAGCTGTCTTTGCCTCTCCCTCCCCCCATCTCATCCCTTCCTGGGGCAAGACACAAGGAACTCATCAGACATCGAAGGCAGAGCTGCGCATTTGCAACAACTGAGAGGCAAGGCAAAAAAAAAAAAAAAAGAGAGAAAGAAATGAAAAGAAAAAAGAAATTAAATCCAGCAATTAAGTTCTAATTGCACAATTACTTCACTCTGTGGCTCGGTGCCAGGGGTGGGAGTCTCGATCCCACAAATGGTGTTTTGTGCAAACTTGGGGAGGAGGAATTGAGAGGGGGGCTAAGGAGGTGATATCTGGGGACAGGAAAACAAAGGCATTTATAAATGGAGGCATCTTGCCAGCAACCTGATGCTAATGTTCTGACTGGCAGGGCATGGGGTGGGCTGGGGAGCTAGGGGGCCTTTTCTAAATAAAATTGGCAAATACACTGAGCTCTGGGCTTTGTTTAGGCGATTCACACTTTAAGCAAGTCTGTCTTCTAGCGAGAGCACCTCTCTGCAGTCATGGGGTGGGGGCCCCTCTTTTTAGGCCTGAGTGGAGATCCCCCTGTTTAGATGTAGGGTGGAGGACCCTGATTAGACCTGGGGTGGAGGCCCCTTTCTCCAAGCCAAGAGATCCAGGGCATTGTGCTTGGCACTGGGCAAGGAGCCTTGGCAGTGCCCAGGCTGGCCATCCTGCAGGGCTTCTAGAGAGCTGGGAGGGGCTTGCAGGGGTGAGCTTGCTGTGTGGGTCCATATTTGTGCCCTGAGAGGATTTGGAAGAAAGAGAATCTGCTGCTTGAATCGGTGCATTCCTTGGGCTGCTTCTCTGCCATCCACTTGCCCACTCATGCACTTGCCCACTCATTCACTCGCCCACTCATTCACTCGCCCACTCATTCATTCACTCACTTGCACTTTTCCCTTACTAATTCTTCAGCTGATATTTATGGGTCTCTAATTTGCACAAGGCACTCTACTTGACATTACAGGAGACAAAGAAGATTTAAGATGGATCTTTCCCTGGGGGAGAATGGAGATAAAATGTGTGTAAAATGATCTGGTAGTTCCTTTTTTTGTTTTGTTTAGTTTTCTGGTGCTGAGAATTTATTCTGATCCATGATCTTGGTGTCAATTAGTGGTTGTCTCCCAAATTTACAAATATAATTTGGTTATTCACTAAAAATAAAAAATAAAAGCTTATGGTAAAATAGTTTCTATTTTTGTGAATGAAAGAAAATAAAGCCTTTTATCTCTTACCCTGAAGCTACAGCCATGTACTGAATCACTGTATTAAATGTTTGTTGTTGCCGGTACTAGCTTTTCTTGTTTTAATCTGTGTGATTTTGAAACTGGATATTTTTCTCTACTTTTTCAGATAAAGTTGAGGCTCAAAGAGGTTAAGTAACTTGTCCACAGTCACACAGTGAGTAAATGCTAAGCCAGGACTTGCATCCAAAGCTAGAGTCCTCTCCTAAATCCAGGGCGTGGGGCAGCCTCTCTCATCCCACTGGGGAGGGGCCCAGCTCCCAGGTCTGCCATACACGGCCACCTGCCAGGCACCTGAAGGACATCACTGGCTGTTGGCATCCTCATAAAGCAGCCGCAGCTGCATGGTACAGATGTGAACCTGGTGATCCAGCTGCCGCTCAGTCTCCTGCAGTTGCTGGAGGACCTGGGTTGGCCCCTCAAGTTGCTCACTGATGCCCACCACTGCATGGCCGTGTAGCCACTGGATGAGGTTCTTGGACTTCTTGGTGATGAGTTGGATGTGCTTGAGGATGTTGGTGATATCATAGATATGCCATTTCTATACCTTCTGCCCTTCCGCTGCCCAATGACCTGGTAGTTTTTGAGCACCTGCTGTCTTAGCTGGGCCCGTCCTAAGGAAATAACCAGGCTGAGTGGCTTAACCAACAGCTGCTTTGTTCTTGGTGTGAGCTCTCTTCCTGGTTTGGAGAGGAAGATGAAGATGAAGAGGAAGAGAGAGAGAGGGAAAGACAGAGAGAGAGATCTAGTGTTTTTTCTTGTAAGGACACTAATCACATTGGACCAGGTCCTCACCCTCATGACCTCATCTCACTCTACCTCCCAAATACCATCAGAATGGGGCCTTAGGGCTTCGGTATATTAATTTGGAGGGGAATCAAACATAGTAGGTTCATACCACCTACTATGTGCTAGGTGTTACCCCTGGTGCTTTACACAAGTTATTGTTAAACCTCATAACATCCCTCTGATGTACATATCACTGTTATTGTTATTTTGCAGACAGGGAAACCGATACTTCGGAGGGGTTAAAATGTCCCCTCTCCAATAAGTCAATCTGAAAGACCTGGGACTGGAACCCGACTGAGTTTTGATTCAGAAGCCTGTGACCTTTTCATGACTTCAAGGTGGAAGGTGATAAGTGTTTCAACAGAGATGAAGCCACACCAGGAGTGATGGAAACAGACACAAACAAAAACATGACTGTCCTGCTTCTCCCTCCTCTCAATGGAATAGACCAAGAGCAAACTGGGGAAACCAGAGAAGATATGTTCTGATGCCACCATCAAGGAGGGGCGGGCTTGGCCCTCTGGCAGGACCCTTGCACTTTAGCTGAGCAGCTGGCAGGGAGGCTGCGGGGTGTCCTGGGCTTGCAGCAGCTAAGCCACCACCACGTCACACAGCGAGCCAAACTCGTGCTCCAGTGGGTTGCCGGAGATGAAGAATTGCTCGGGAGGGAAATTCCATATAATATGTTGCAGCCACCACAAAAGCTCCGGAACTCCAGCCATAAAATAAATCAAACACAGGCGTAAGATCCGCCCACACCATTCAGAGGAACCTTCCAGACCAGAGTCACAGAAGGGAAGTAGAGAAAAGAAGATGAGAATCTGTGTCCCCCTGGGGTCTTCTGGCCTCCCCAACTTCTCCAGGCTTTTCTGCTGCTGTTGCTTCTCCGGATGCAGCTGACGTTCAGCCACAGGAGACTGAGTCCCCACTTGCACTCTGCCCTCCCAGTGCCCCTTCTCTGCTTGTCCAGCTGGCAGGCTAATTCTCCAAGGACCTGCTCAAGGACCACCTCCCTTGGAAAGCCTTCCTCAACCACATCCTTCCGGGGACAGTTTATTACTTTCTTTCCTGTGACCAGCCTGAAGGCACAGCGATCAAGATCATGGGCTGAGCCAGACCTGGTGTGACTCCCAGCTCTGCTACTTGCTCTGTGACCTTGGACCAGAGAGTCCTCCCTACTCTGAGCCTCAGTCCCCTCATCTGTGTGCTGGGGACAATACTGAGACCAGTCTCACAGGGCTGTCTTTCTCAGGTGAATACTTCCTGATGCCCACAGTGTGCAGCAGAGTATCTGAGGCCTTGAGGCAGTCACTTGTATGAAGTCACACTGGTCCTGGACCTTAGTAAGAGCTCAGCCAGTCAGTCCTTATGATCATAGTCCTGCAGGGTTTTGTATGGACCTCTTACTGCACTGTATTGGAATTCTTTGTTATGTGCGTTCTCCTGGATAGGACCTGGCCTCCGCAGTGTAGGCACATGGTTTATTTGTCCCTGTTTGCCCAGTGCCTGCCCAGTTTCTGACTTGCAATAAGCTTATCGATATGTTTTGTTGCCAGAAGGTAAGATTTAAGCGGGCAACCCAGCAGCTATCATCAGCTCTCTGGCAAAATGAAGTCCGAAGGTGGTGGGTGGAGGCAAACTCATCATGAGACAAGGATTGCTAAATTTTCCTGTGGGGTTTGTCCGGTGCCAAAAGGGATTTATTTATTTATTTGTTTTTAAGAAAAATTGGAACTGGAGTGAATGCCCGTGACCCCTATTTTCTCTCCATCCTGATCCGGCCTCCTGAGATGTTGCACATCTGGATCAAACCACAGCTGGTTTTTTCCGTTCCCTGCTCTGAGCAAAGCTCCGAGAGAGGAGAGAGGACAGAGTGGAGAGGGGGGCGGCGAGGAGGCATTGCCGGGAAGGACACAGATACACTGGAAGGTGACAGGGGAGGGGCGAAGGAGAAGCGGTGCCTAGGGAGTGCGCGGCCTCACAAGCAGCACAGCCCGCCCGGGACGTGGGACACGGCCCCTCCCCGTGCTCCTTCGCTGCTGCCCTGGCGAAGCCCTTCCTCGTCTCTCGGGGCTCTGGTGACACCTCCTCACTGGGCTCCTGGCTCCAGGCCATCCTCCACCCTGTCTTTTGTAGAACTTGTCTATGGATACAATAGATCATTGTCCTCTTCAGGATAAGCTAATATCATCATTGCTCTCTGCTCTAAAGAGTCCTCAATGGCTCTCCAGGCCCCTTAAATGAAATTCTGAGCGCCTTGGAATTTCATTTAAGACTTTCAATGCTCTGGCTCCTGCCAACATCTGGCTCTGGCCCACCTCTTACCCCATTGCCACCGTATTTTGACCCTGCTGACCACCCTGTATGTTACGTTCCTGTCATTCTGGTCTTCCTGTGGCTTTCTCAATGTGTTCCTCGGTTCTCCCTTCCCTTCCTGGCAGACATCTACTTATTTTTCAGTACTCTGTCCAGACATGGTGGTCTCCTTGAGGCCTTTCCTGACTCCTACAACCCTGGTCTCTGTGTATAGTTTTCCACTGAAACCTGTACAAAATCCCTACATGGCACCAGCAACATTTGAGTGCACTTTGTCATAGCAGCTACCCTTTGCTGGGTGTCTGTACTGAACTAAGGGCTTCACATCATGGTTTACTTGAAGCCTCAAAACCACCCAGGATGTAGGTGTTGTTACTACATCTCCATTTTGAGGGGGGCAACTAAGGACCAGCAAAGGTGACTAACTTGCCCCAGATCGCACAGCTAGTGAATTCAGAGTACATATCTGAACCCAGGATTTGTCTAATTCCAAAGCTCGTGCTCTTAATCACTGTTCTCTGGAACAGAGAATTCCAGACGGTGATCTCTTTCAAGCTAGGGATGAATTTTCTCTGCTCTTGTACCCTCAGCACCTAGCACAGTATCTAGCACCTAAGAAAATTTAATACATAGTTCAATGAATTGGGGATTATTTTGCCTGTTTTACAGATAAGAAAACTGAGGCTCGGAATTATTAATCAGTTTGCCCAAGGCCACCCCACTAGCGAGCGGCTGATCTGGAACTGAGGCCCAGGTCTGTCTGTGTTCAGATGGTGCTCATTCCACCTCCCCACACTGCCCACCATGCGCTTGTCCCTCAACAGGAAAGCTATTGTTTACAGTTTAAAGAAAACTTCAGCAACCGTAACAATAACCAGCATCACAAACATCGAAAAACTCCTTTTTCCATGACTAACCCCAATGCTGTGAAAGCACTATGGCAACAGAGGCAAGGCTACGAGAGGAGTGAAAGGAAGGAACCAGCCCGATGTCATCCAAACCATCACCATCACAGCAGCATCATCTCTGACCCTGATTGCTTGGTACGTGAAAGGCACTGTGCTAAGTGCTCTGTTAGTGTGAGCTTGCTGAACCTTCATAACCAAAGGTGCTGCGTGAATTGTCATTGGAAGAAGAGGTAACTGAGGCTTAGACAGGTGGAGTAACTTGTTTGGAGGTGGTGAAGGCCCAGGTGGAAACCCAGGTGTATCTCTCTGGCTCTAGAGCCTGTGTTCTTAATGCCATGGAAATGGTCTCCCTTCTCTGCTTTTCCCTCTGCTGAAATGCGCCATCAGCTGGACAGAACCAAAGTGTCAGAGCTTTGCCACTGGCATAAAATGAGGGCACCTGTTGAAAGTAGAAACAGGGTGCTGGCTGTTGTCTCAGTGACCAGCCTTGATTCTCTCAAGGCACCAAGGAGAGCGATATTCATGGGAACGCTGCTGTTGTTTTGAATATGCCCAAAACACCTTATGGAGACAAAACTTGGTCATCCCTGGGGAAAAGGTGACAGCGTGTTGGTCTCCAGTGGGCAGAGAGATACTTGGACAGTAAGGACTGGAAAAAATAGGAAACAAATAATCAGCGATCTCTAATTACATATCACTGCCTTACTCTGTAACAACAAATAGCAAAGAAGAGAGAGAAAACGTGGCCATTGATTTCCAGTTAGACAAGACTGCCTGGGGGACAACCTCCCGGGCAGGTGAAGTAGCTCAGGGCTGAGGAATCCCTGCTCTCTCCTCCCCCTCCACGAAATAAAATCAAAGTAAGTAAATGCACCCTTAAAACTACTCACACCCGGCCAGCGTGGCTCAGTGGTTGAACATCAACCTATGATCCAGGAGATCGAGGTTCTATTCCCAGTCAGGGCACATGCCTGGGTTGTGGGCTTGATCTCCAGCAGGGGGCGTGCAGGAGGCAGCTGATCAAAGACTCTCATCATTGATGTTTCTCTCCCTCTCCCTCTCTCCCTCTCCCTCTCCCTCTCCCTCTCACTCTCACTCTCACTCTCACTCTCACTCTCGTTCTCTCTCCTCCTACCTCAGATCCCTGGAGACTTTGGAGGGAGCATGGAGCTAGTGACACCTCGACTTCACACTTCTAGCCTCCAAACTTGTAAGAGGATACATTTCTATTGTTTTATGACCCTCAGTTTGTGGCAGTTTGTTACAGCAGCCACAAGAAACTAATACAAGGAGTGAATATGTTAACGTTGGTAACCATGGTAAATACCCTATGTGTTTGTTAAATAAATTATATTTTAAGAACCTCATGGCAGCACCTGAGGTAGGTGTTTTTTTTTTTTCCAAATTTATCTTATTGATTTCAGAGAGAGGAAGGGAGAGGGAGAGAGAGAGAAACATCAATGATGAGAGAGTCATTGATCGGATTCCTCCTGCACGCCCTCTTCTGGAGATCGAGCCCACAACCCGGGCATGTGCCCTGACCGGGAATCGAACCTCGATCTCCTGGATCATAGGTCAGTGCTCAGCCGCTGAGCCAGGTCAGCTGCGCTAGGTGTTATTTTTATTCCCCTTTTACAGAGGAGGAAACTGAGGCTTAGGTCAAGCACATAAGTTAATAAAGTCACCTCTCTGCTCTCCTTTTCCCATCTACTTGAATTGTATAATTTTAAAATTCAACAAAGGCTTCTTGAAAGTGTATGCCACCCTGTAAATATGACAGAAAGCCTCTGTTTCGTTCAGGATGGGCCGAGCTCACTTAAGCTGCAGGAGGGAGTCCACCTGCACCTGGGTCTCTGACTCATACAAAGTCTGGCGACACTCCAGGGCAGCTGTCCTGTCTGCAGTGGTTCCCTGACCCAGGCTGCCCCACCTCACAACGCCGCCACCTCAGTCCATGGCTTTCAACATCACGGAAACAAGAGCATGGTGCTTACATAGCATCTTTGCTCATAGCCCATTGGCCTGAACTGGTCACATGGCATCATCTTAACCACAAAGGTTGCTGGGAAATGTAGTCTTTCCAAGTGCCCGGGAAGTGGAAGGTGATTTAGGCTTGAGGAATGTTAGGCTTTGGCTCAGCCTCAGCCTCAGGACGTTGAAGCTGTATTTTCGGGGGTAGTTTTGCTTGACAAGTCTCCATTGTGGAATTGTTTTTTCCTTCAGTTGGTTGCTTCCTCTTGAACAATGTGGGGCTAGGGGCCCAATTCCAGCGTGTGGAAAATCCCATATAACCTTTTTTTTTTTTTTAAATATGTCTTTACTGATTTCAGAAAGAGGGAGAGGGAGAGAGAGACAGAAACATCAATGAATCAATGAT